TTAAGACTATTATTACAAGGTGATTTTTTTTTGTGCAGGTCCTGGGTCTTCAGCTCAGGGCCTGAGCTCTGTCTGCGACCTTTATGCTCAAGGCTAGTGCTCTACCACTTGAGTGACAGTGCCACTTCTGAGTTTTTTATTATGTTGTTTTTTTCTGAGTTGTTTATTGAAGATAAAGAGTCCCAGGGACTTTCCAACCAGGGCTAGCTTCAAACCATGATCCTCAGATCTCAGCTTCCTGAGTAGGGATTACAGGCATGAGCCTCCAGCACCCAGTATGAGGTGACTTTTTAACTACTACCTTTGCTTAGCTATTCTGCCACCCATGCATGAGAAGCAAGGTTCACAGAAACAGAAATGTAAACTACCAGCTAAAAATTTCATGTGACTTTGAGTTAAAGTATATTACATTATAGGTGTACATATATATATATATATATGCATATATATAAATTCAAACATTTTTATGTATATATATATATTTCCCCCCTCATTATCAGTAAGTTTAAATCAGAATCATCAAAAACATTATTACCAGAGGCTGGAGAATGTGACTCAGTGATCACCAAAATATATATACACGTGTGTGTGTGTGTGTGTGTGTGTGTGTGTGTATATATATATTTTTGCCAGTCATGGGGCCTTAACTCTGGACTTGGACACTATCCTTCAGCTCTTCAGCTCAAGGCTAACACTCTACCACTTGAGCCACAGCACCACTTCCAGCTTTTTCTGCTTATGTGGTGCTGAGGAATTGAACCCAGGGCCTCATGCATGCAAGGCAAGCACTCTACCACTGAGCCACCTTCCTGGCCCCTAACCAATATTTTATTAATAGTTTTCATGCTTTTTTTTTTTGGCGGGGGGTAGGGGGGACTAGGGATCAAATCCAGGGCCTTATACATGCTAGGTAAATATTCGCCCACTAAGCAACACCACTAGTCTCTTCCCATTTATTTAATGACATCAAAATCCTACCATCTGTTATAACTAATGGTACTATGTTATTCATAAATAATCTATCCAAAAGGTTACCTCATCAGCCCGAGGAGCATCTTTATCTAATTCTCTCCAAGCATGCTCAAAGCCAGGTTCTTCAGGAAATATATCAGCCCAATCATCTTCATCTTCGGAACTAGTTTCAATATTTCCTTTCCCCCTGGCAAGATCAGGGCCACTGTCACTTTCATCATCATCTTCACTGTCCTCTTCTTCCTCTTCATCAACTTCACTTTCATCATCATCAGCTGAAGCTCCACCACCACCTGTGATTTCATTTTCAGATTCCTCATCACTTCCTATTTCACTCATACTGTCTGAATCTTCCTCCACAGAATCTTCATCAAACATCTTTCCATTACTGTTTCCTGCCATTACAAATTGAACCAATACAAAATGTTATGGGCAGGGGGAAGAAGAAAATATATACTATTTATTAATTTAATTATATTAAATATGTACTAGTATATATTTAGTTACTGAAGAGCTAAATGAACTAACGAATGAGTATCCAATTCTACTTAACTTCTTCAGCCATTTCTTATCATGTGATGACAATATATAAAACTTTATCTGGTTAGAGAATATAGCTCTCACTAAAGTGCACTGCAAGTTAAAATCATTTAGATTCAATTTTTTATGTCCTTCAGTGCCAAATCAAAAATAATCACTGTACATTTTTCCTCCAATAGTATTTCCAAATAAGCATTTGGCCATCCCAAGATACCAAGATACTATGAAAATAATTATTATACCTTTTGTTCTTTTTAGCACTAGTTTAAAAATACCATAACACCAAAGAATCATTATTTTCAACCAACCTGATTGTTTTTCTCTTTTTGTCTTGTTACAACTGATTGTAGGACATTTCACAATTTCAGAGCTGCTCAAGTCTGCTGTCCTTAGTTTTCCTTTGGGAAAGGTGTCTGTGCTATGTTCAATATTTCTTTTCTCTTTTGTGCTTTTTTGTGTAAATTCACCACTATTCTTCTTGGGACTTATTTCTGAATCTATCTTCTTCGATTTACATAAGTTTTTCATTTTCTGATATTTTTTAGAATTATCTAAATCATTTTTATTTACAGAATCCTTTTGTTCCATTTTCTTAATTTCTTTCTTTTGTTCTTCAGTCAAATTCTTTGAAATAATTTCTTTACTGGTTTGAGTTTTCTTCTTTGTTTTCTTTTGGTTCAATACTTTGCTTTCTTCATCAGAGAGATCGGAATCAGAATCTGATAGGTCATAGAAACGTTTTAAGTCTTCTGTAGTGCTATGGTTGATGGGCCGCCCTCTTTTGTCAACAGCATAGTTCAATTTAAATTTTTTGTCATGAAACATGGCTCGAAATCTCTTGTCAATCTTGACTTTTCGATCCTTTTCAGGCATTTCCCAAAATCTAGGATCCTTTGAAACCCGCCTAAAGCGCTGGTCATTCATTATTTCTTGTTTGGATGACATTTTGAAATCTTACTGAAGAAACCAAATACTAAAAAAATAAAACAATGTTAGGACAATGAACAATTAGTAATATAATTAGAAGATTTTAAAAGTATATTAACTCACAATATATTATGTGTAAAATGTATGTAAAATAAAGGGAAGTGAAATTCAACTTCATCTCCCCAACTTATTCTGGGTCACATGCAAAAAAGCAAAAACAGCAAACTGTCCTCTCTTCTGTTTGGAGAAATAAATTTAAGGCATATCAAGCAGAACCCCAGGGTTTTATCGATATGGCTAGTAGCCTATTAAACTCTCTTAGAATTTCTATATGCCCGTCTATATTAGTGCTGTAAGTTAAAAGCAAGTGCATTTTAAAAGCACTACCAAAAAACCAAGGATGGAGGTCCACGCATGCAATCTTAGCATTCATAATACAAAAGCAGGATAGTGAGTTGCACACCAGTGTAGGCAACAGATAGAATGAATCACAGGTTAGCCTGGACTATTTAGTGATACCCTGCCTCAACACTCTGCCAAAAAAAAAAAAAAAAGCCAGGATCTGGTGGCTCACACCTGTAATTGTAGCTACTCAGGAGGCTGAGATATGAGGATCATGGTTCAAAGCCAGCCCGGGCAGGAAAGTCCGTGAGACTCTTATCTCCAATAAACCACTCAGAAAACCGGAAGTGGCCTGGTGGCTCAAGTGGTAGAGTGCTAACCTTGAGCTGAAGAGCTGAGGGTCAGAGCTCAGGCACAGAGTTCAAGCCCCACAACCAACCAAAAAAAAAAAAAATAAAGAAGAAAAGAAAAATACACCAAACCTCAGTTTATATAATTTGTTTCGGAATGCTCTTTACCTCCTAGTACTCCTAACACAAGTCCTACAAAGTTAGTCTCCTAACCAGAGACCAAAATCAAACCAGACTTATTTCAGAAAGTTCCTTCTTTAAATCTTCCCATCGGTCAGGAACTAACTAAAGACTCATTCCACTTAACACATATAGCCCTTCCCCTTTTAAAGAATTAGCTATTCTGTAAGTAATAAGGCATCAAAGACCCGATCCTACAAAACTATATAGGTTTATGTGTATTAATTTATCATGCCCTTCTAAAGAGTCTCTGATGGTTTGGCTTCCATGGGATTTGAATGTTGCCAAAAGCCTAAAATCTGATTTTAAAAGCCAACCCTGGTGTTAACCTCATGACAGCAGACAATCTAACACCGGAGGATAGCAGATGCCTGGAGCACACCTCCCCCCCCCCACCCCTTCCCCCTATGTCAAAAAAGATTAGCCAAGAGATTTTTTTTTAGAGGAAAAAAACCACAAAAACAAAAACAGGGCTGGCATCGTGGTGGATCAGAGGTAAAAGAGCTTGCCTAGCAAACTCGAGAATAAAAACAAACCAAAACAAAAATAAAATAAAGCAAGCCCCAAAGAGATTGACCCAGCTGGACAGAACTGCTTTATTTATTTATGTGGGGGGGGGGAGCCAGCCTCACCACGCGTAGCCCAGTGGGCAAGGTTCGTACATTGGCGCGGGCGCACACACACACACACACACACACATACACACACACACAGAGTCAAAGCCTCACTGATGTACTGATCAGAGGTAAAGCCTGTGACTGTGAGAGAAGACACAGACACAGACACATAGACACACACACACACACACACACACACACACACACACAGAAAGCCTCACTGATGTACTGATCAGAGGTAAAGCCTGTGACTGAGAGAACACACACACACACACACACAGACACACAGTCAAAGCCTCACTGATGTACTATCAGAGGTAAAGCTGTGACTGTGAGAGAACACACACACACACACACAGTCAAAGCCTCACTGATGTACTGATCAGAGGTAAAGCCTGTGAGAGAACACACACACACACACACACACACACACACACACAGTCAAAGCCTCACTGATGTACTGTCAGAGGTAAAGCCTGTGAGAGAAGACACACACACACACACACACACACACACAGTCAAAGCCTCACTGATGTACTGTCAGAGGTAAAGCTGTGACTGTGAGAGAAGACACACACACACACACACACAGTCAAAGCCTCACTGATGTACTGATCAGAGGTAAAGCCTGTGAGAGAACACACACACACACACACAGTCAAAGCCTCACTGATGTACTGTCAGAGGTGCAGCTGTGACTGAGAGCAGCCGAGACGCCGCAGCACGCGTTCCCTCCCCCCGGAAGTCCACCCACTCTCGGACCCCGGGAAAGCCCTGAGGAACTCTGAATAAGGCCAACAAAGCGAAGGCGAAGGAGGGTCACCCCTCATTCTCGGAGAGGCCTTCTCAGAGGCGAACTCGCCCCGAGCGCCTCTTCCTGAGCTCTCTTCCCCCTACTCACCCAGCAGACTCCTCGCGCAGACTCACGTGGACTCGCACCCACAATCCTCCGCGAGACGCTCCGCCAGAACGGCACGCGAACGGGGCCAAACGACCTCCAGCGTCCTCCCTCTCGCAGAATGCTCTTCGTAGCCTCGCGCTTGCCGTACGCGTTCCGGCGCCTGCGCACGACCGCGCGCTTGCGCGGCTTGCTCGGCGGCGGGAGATGTTGAGGAGAGTTGAGAGTCGCCGCTTCTGGCGGCTGCTTGGGACGCCTGAGATCTCTTCTGGGGATGGCGGCCGTCGGCAGGTCACTTCTGGTGTCCCTCCCTCCGGTGGGACCGTGTTTAGAGCCCTAAATATCTTCGACCGGGACCTGAAGAGGAAGCAGAAGAACTGGGCGGCCCGGCTGCCCGAGCCGATGAAGTTTGACTACTTGAAGGAGGAGGTGAGGCGGGGGCCTCGGGCGGGGCGGGGGCTTCCGGCGGGGCGGGCGCCGGGACCCCACTTCCGGCCCGGGAGCTCCTGCGGCGCCCCGCCGGCTTCTCCTGTCTGCGAGGCCTGGAGCTGAAGGTTTGCCTCCGTGGCCTTCGACAGTTATCGCTGGAAGGCTAACATGCTATTCATTCATTCATCCATCCATCCAACTTAGCAAACATAGCTTGAGTTCATGGTATAGCCGGGTTCTTGCTTGACCCTTACCCTTAAAGGCTTTCAGGAAGTCGGAGGAGGACATAGGAGACTGACACAATCAGGGAAATGTCATTTCAGCTCAAACATAGGATGGTGAGGGGAAATGAAGGGATATTATTAGTGACGGTGATGCCCGGGCGGCGTGGTGAGACAACTAGCCAAGCCGAGATGAAGGGTGGCGGGAGCCTTCCTAAGAACAAGGGAAGACCAGGACAAAGTCCCAGAGACCCAAAGGACCTTGTTTGTAGGGGCCTGAGTGAAACTGCAGCACAGAACTCAAATCCCGGTGGATATTTCTTCAGGGGAACAGCAAAACTGAAGTCAAGTATAATAAGATTTTCCGAGCTAATGTTTTTGAGCTGCTATTTTGAACAAGTCAGTAGCCTGATGACAATTGACAGTGTGTCAGACCTCAGGAATCCTTACCTTCAAACACCTAAGAAGCAGAGATAGAACAACTATGGCAGAGATAGAAAGTCAACTTTATACATCGTGGGTATCCCATCGGCAACACACTGAACACACTATTCTGATCCTACCAGTTGCTGGTTTCCTTCTGCAAAGTTCATGATGTCATGTACTTAGGAGATTTCCTTCCTGGCACCGCTCTTCTCCCACCCCACAAGAAAAACATTCGGATTACAACTTGACTGAAGCCTTGCCAATGTGCAGAATTATGATAGATGAGATACGATTCTGTGAGATCTTCTTTTATAAACAAAAGTTACTGGTATAGGAATGATTGCAGAGTGACCATCACCTCTGAGAAAGTACTACTTTACCTCCTTTCTTACCCCTTCTCTCCAGAAATAAAGGCAGAGTTCTGAACTGACAGGTCCCAGTGGCAACTCTGTCATGTTCATGTGGGAATGAGTAGAATATGGGGGATATTAGATGCCCACATCTTTGTTGATGAAGCTAGTCCAGTAAAAGGAGGTTTTGCTTTGTTATCTCTTTCAGACTGGGATAGAATTTGGGTAATGGTGGACTTTCTTGAGGTTTAGTTTCTACTAATTTGCAAGTACCACTCAAAAAAGCTGTTCGTTCAGGCCACTTTTAGTGGCACATGCCTGTTATCCTAGCTCTCAAGAGACAGGAGCAGGATTGTGAATTTGAGACCAGCTAGGTACACAATGAAACCTTTTCTCAAAAAAGAAAAAGAAAAATGAATATATTTTAAGATTGATTTCCCTTGTTTTCCTCTAAGAGTATTTTATAAATTAAAAAATTTCTCATAGTGTTCACTGATTTTGGATAGCAAGCACCATGAGTACCTAGAAAAATGTGAGAGACTTTTGAGTGGCTGTAAATTGTAAGGTGACCTGATTTGTATTTTAGGAAAAATAGGAGTTTCACAAAATTTGTGAGTGAATTTTTATTAACTGACCATTTTTGTATTGATCTGTAGTAAACCTTAGCTAACTAAGATTTTTTTCCTTTAACATGTCATAAATTAATGTATGTGAGCAATAATGTACTTATTATGTTCCTGTTAATTTTTCTTTCCTTCCTCCCTCCCTCTCCCTCTCTCCTCTTTTCTCTTTCTCTCTTTCTTCCTCCCTCCCTCCCTTCCTTCTTCATCTCTCTTTCTCTTTCTCTCTCTCTCTTCCTCTTTCTTTGGTTTGTTCTTTCTTTCGTTCTTTTGCTTTTATGCAGGTCCTGGGGCTTGAACTCAGGGCCTTAGCTCTGTCCCTGAGCTTCTTTTGCTCATGGGTAGCCCTCTATCACAGGTCCACTTCTAGCTTTTTTGTGGTTAATCAGTGATAAGAGTCTGATGGACTTTTCCTGCCCCGGCTAGCTTCGAAATTAGATCCTCAAATCACAGCCACCTGAGTAGCTAGGGTTACAAGTGTGAGACACTTTTTTTTCTTCTTCATATTTATGATCTTATATCATATAAACTTAGTCTAGGTGAAATTTGTATATGTGTGTAGGCATAAGTGTATACTTATTGTTCAGTCTTTATTAAATAATTTGCTTCATTAATTAACTGCTTAATTAAGTAGTTTGCTTCAGATTATTTTCTGGTATATTTTAGTATGTTTCTATTTATTTGTAAAGTAAGTTGCTGTGGAAAAATAGAAAAAGGGATAAAAGGAAATACTTATATTAAATCTTTGTTGCATACTGGGGAAAAAAGTGTTACTTCTTGTTCTTCTCAGTTTATTGATGCCATTGCTTTTTGTAATCTTTCAGGTTGGAAGTCGGATTGCAGACCGTATATATGACATAGCCAGGTAAATGTTGGTATCACAATAAAGACATGCAAGATCCAAAAAACAATGACATATGGTTTACAATTTATTAAAAACATATATCTTGTGTGCTTTAATAAAAGAAACATTAAATTTTGCAAATTAGTTTTGATTTTATGAACTTTTTTTGCTATATCTCTGGGCAGAATGCAGTCAAGTTTCTGTGATAATGGCTAAAAGGATGTTATAACCATGAAGTGTTTGAGATTAAACTATTAGAGATGCCAGTTTAAAATATCCTTGCATTGATGTCCTATTAGAAAGTTATAGACCTGGAGATAAAACCCAGCCAACAATAGAACACTTGCCTGGAATATGCATGTCTTCATCTCTTGATTGTAAGGAGACACAAACAGAAAAAAAGAGTCATTTACATTGTCAACACTGTTAGCTTTAAAAACTGATTTTTAAATGTCTTATTTGTGAGATTTGAGGCCCACTTAATATTATAGTCAGTGATAATAGCAACTAATTTTATTGAACAGTTATCCTGTGCTAAATGTTTTACATGTACTATTTCATGTAATTATCACCAACTCTGAGAGACATAGTTAGCTTTTCCATTTTGTATATAAGGACACTGAAGAAACAACAAGTTTAAATCACCTACATAAGGTCATAGGACTAATAACTTGTAGGCCTAAAATTTGAACTCATGCCTTTCTCATTCCTTATAGTAGTACTATACTGTGTATGTTTATAATCAGTATGGGGCATTAGGTTTAAAGAAATGGCTGTGACCAAGTTTCTTCCATCTATCTGTTGGTGTTCTGTAATTTTGATGTACATTATTAAAAAGAGTTGAACAGACTTTTTGTTCCAGTTTTTTAGGGGAAAAATTTTACTAGTAGATAAACTGTTAACTTTTCTGTCATAAATGACTTTACACCTGTGGCCTAAAACTACATTTCTATACTGATTTAGTATGGAGTGATATATTTAGAGAAGATAGCATAATATAGAAGGTAATTGTTCTGACTCAATTTATCATATTAATTGCTTCCTGTTGGTTGAAATACTTGAGTTGTCATATTGAACACTCAGTTTTTTGTTGTTTTTTTTTGTATTTTTTTTTTCAGGTAAGCAGTAGGTTTATTCATCGTTCTGGCTGGCACACTCGGTTTTTAGTAAAATTTATCTGTTATTTTGGTGTTTGGCTTGTTGGTTTTTGTTTTGTTTTGTAAATTTTAGCCTTTTATTCCCCCTTGACACAGGGAACCAAATCCAAGACATTATATGGTTAGGCAGTGCTCTATCACTGCGTCATTGAGAGTTCAAGTTTAACATATTTCATGTGAACATATCTAAGTGTTCTGACTCAACTAATTTAAGAAATAGGGATAATTACTAAGTTCCTGATAAGTATGCCAGTTTTCTCAGATTAATTTACATGTTTTATTGAATTAAAATAACCTCATTAAGTCTGTCCTTTAAATCCATACCATGAGCCACTTTGTATAAACTGTTTTGTTTGCAGTACTAGGGGCCTCACTGTGGTACAACATGAACACTAAAGCTTGTTCTATATAAGGTGCTATTTGAATGGATCAAACAGATCACTATGATGATGTAGCTTATTAAACCAGGCAGCAAAGGCAGATGATGTAACTTTCTGAACAATGTCTTGACTTAAATTATTTTTAATCTAAGAAAAATCATCTCTTAATTGTTCAATAAGCTGTATTACAGATAAACAGTAAATTCTTTGATTTTTTTTAGAAATTTCCCCCTTGCTTTGGATGTTGGTTGTGGAAGAGGTTATATAGCACAGCATTTGAATAAGGTATATTTACTCAGTGACTTAATTTTTGCTTTGTGACATAAAACTAGCCTTTTATTGTTAATTATTAAATACTCATATTAAAGGGGTTGCAGTTCCATAAATCAGTTTGTGAGTACAGTGCTTCTTGACAATGTCACCTCTTCATTCTCCCCTATTTCTCCCTCCCATCCTTCCCACAAGTTACACAATTTATTTTTTAAATAGTGTACATTGTATATAATGACTGCATTTGTTCACCTTTCTCCATTCCTTTGCCCTACTACCCCTGCCCCCCAAGAAAAAGGCAAAAGATGTTTCTACTTCATGGTATTCATTTTGATAAAGTCTACTTTAGTTGTGTAGGTAAGCCTTGTTTAGTTGCCTAGTTCAGCCTTTGGATTCCTCCCCCAAGTGTACTCTCCTTTAGTCAGTTTGTATGTTAATGCATTGAGCACTGTAAAGGTTATCATGCTTAGTTGTATTTTACATATAGGTAAGGTATTTGTGTACCATATCAGTATTATGCCAGAAAACACTATTACAAAGCTGGAAAATCAATCTATGATTAACACCTTTTCCTTTCGAAATTTCAGTAATTGTTTCATTTGTTGCTGCATTTATAGGTTTCTTTGTCTTTGTACAATCTGATCAGCTATAATTATTCCATTGCAGGAAACTGTTGGAAGGTTTTTCCAAACAGACATTGCAGAAAATGCGTTGGTAGGTAGCTTTTTAACACACCATTGGTTTCTGCTCTCCCAGTTTGATTTCTATTTTTCAAAATGAACATAGCTTTATTTTCAGTCTGATTATAAATATAATACACATGAAAAATTAAACCGAATGATAAAAAAGAAAAATACCTCTAGAGGCAGCTATTGTGACATTTGGTTTACATCTTTGCAGACATCTTGATCTTTTTCCCCCAACCCCCTCTCTCCCAGAAGGACAGTTTTATTATCTTCATGTACAGAGAAATCAACATTGTATGCTTAGCCTAGCTTAGTGGCCAGCTCCTTAGCCTTCGCCTTTTCCAACTTGGCCATTCAGGCCACAGATTTTGGACCCAGGACATTGCCTCCCCAGTGACGAAGGATCCCATCATACCTGTCATTATAATTGGTCCTGATAGCCTCCACCAACTTTGCCAGAGATCCTTTGTCTTCCAAGTTAACCTGAGTGAAGGCAACGGTGGTGCATGTTTTCCTGTGGATGAAGCGCCCCAGCCTGGCCTTCCCCTTGATGTAGTAGGGAGCATCCATCTTGCGGCACAGGGCAGGCAGGAATACAACCAGCTTGATGGGGTCCATGTCATGTGCAGTCACCACAAGCTGAGCCTTCTTGTTCTCTACTAAGGTAGTAACAGTGTTAGCCCCTGCTCAAAGGACTGGAGGTCTTTTAGTGGGGATGTCTCCCTTGCCAGCAGCTTTCTTTTCAACTCAGGCCAACAGTCTCTGCTGCTCTATCTCTGGCCTGTACTTAATGGGCCAGCTTAAGTAGCTGTGTAGCTAGCTGTCTGGTGGTTCAAGGCCTGGGAAAACTGGTTAATTGCAGGAGGCACTTTCAGCCACTTGTAGAGGATTGCCCTTTGCTGCTGCAGTTAGATGTAGTGGGGCTATTTGACAAAAGGTCCCTTTTAGGCTGGAAGTCCTGTCCAATGCCAAAGTTCTTCTGTGTTTGTCAATTTACTAGGCAAGAATTAGAAATAGCTTCATTTTGTGCAAGTTTCTTTCATTATTAGATCAAATATCTGTTGATGTCTTTTCACTATTGGTTTTTGGCCATTGGTATTTTTTCTGAGTTTTGTAAGCTGTTTTGTAACAAGCCTCTACTATATCCTTCTATGTCTTTTGCCTTCACATATTTTTATTTTGTTGTAAGAACTTGTGTTTTAGCGATATCAATCCTTCATCATATACATTGTAAATATTTCCCACAATTTGTGTTTATATCACTTAGTGCCTTTTGGAAATTTTTATTTTACCTTAAAATATATCTTATCTTTTTATTAGTTTCTAGCTTTGAGTTGTTTTATCTAGGCTTTTAAAAATCCAAGTATAAAAGTATTCACCCACATTTTTATCTAATACTTGTAGTTTTAATTCTACTGAAGTTCTCAGTTTTGAGTGTAAGATGGTTATTCTGTTTTGTTTTGTACAAATATCTGGCCAGTGTTTTCTGACTGATCTTCTGTATTATGTAAGATTTTTTGAGTACCTTATATTTTCTGTATACAAACTGACAAATAAGTAGACCATTAATTTCAGTTTAATAGCCATTGAGTCTACTTAGGCAAGTTTTTGATATTTAATTTCTTTGTCATTAGAAAAATTCCTTAGGAACAGATATTCCTACTGTCAGTGTTCTAGCTGATGAAGAATTCCTTCCCTTTCAAGAAAATACATTTGACCTGGTGGTTAGCAGTTTAAGGTTGGTAATCTATTTGTACTTTTAAAAATTATATATTATAAATAGGAAATTTATGGTATAAAATCTCATCAGATAGAGAAAATAGATAATATAGTAAATATTTTTTGAGTAACTTTTTAAGCTTTTTTAAAAATTACAGTTACTTTTAGTTTATAAACTGTTAAGATTTCTCTGGTGAAGAATTAAAGATCCTAGTAGAGATAATATGATGTGCTACCTCAACTTTTTTTCATCTTCAACTTTCTACCACTTGCTAAAACTCATTGGTGATAGAAGATTTTTCCCCCTGTATAACTTAGCATTTTGGAATTGATCTTGATGGGGGCAGGAGTTTGAAATAGTATTCTGACTCTACCATTCAAATGTTAGCCTCCTCATCTAAAGCCATTTGGTAGGTAAGGAAAAGCTTGTATTTCCTTTTTCTTTATTCTTCTACATAAAAACATTGTCTTCAAAGTTACTGTTTTGTTTTTTTTTTTCTTCTTTTGCCAGTCCTAGGCTTGAACTCTGGGCCTGAGCACTGTCTCTGAGCTTCTGTTGCTCAAGGCCTGCACTCTACTATGTGAGCCACAGTGCCACTACTGGCTTTTTTGAGTAGTTTATTGGAGATAAGAGTCTCATGGAGTTTCCTGGCTCCAAACCACGATCAACCTTCTGAGTAGCTAGGATTACAGGTGTGAGCCACCATGGCCTGGTTTGCAAAGTTATTTTTAACTTTTGTATTTTGTTTCCATGTTCTTTTATGTTTATTATGTGAACATGTGCTATGATCTATTGAGTAGGTGGCAAATATAGGAGAAACAGAGCAAGAAGACTTGGAAAAATACAAACATGAATTCAGACAGGGATCCTGTCCTCAGAGAACTCTTAATCTAATAGAGAAGACATTCTTTACTATCTTATTTCTCTTGCCTTCTTACAGTCAAGTAGATTTTCTTCCAAAGGTACTTCATGCTCTCCATGTCCTTCATAACCTGTTTTTTTTTCTTTTGTTGTTGTTTGGTTGGCTAGTTTTTGCTGCTACTGAGACCTCCCTCCAAAAACCTTTTAGGGCTTGCTAAGCACCTGGTAGACCTCCAGTCACTTTCTGGGGTATGGTCTTACTTTATGTACAGGCTGGACTTGGTACTGTGATATTTCTACTTGTGTTTCCACTTGTTGCTGGGGTAACAGGCATGTGCCACTGTGCTCAGCCATTGTGCTTCTACTATAGTTGGTATGACAGGTGCATGCACTGCAACCCAGCCAATGATTGAGATGGGATCTCATAAACTTTTAAGCCCGAGATGGCCTAGACCTCTATCCCCTAGTCACCCTCCAGGTAGCTAGGATTATAGTCTTGAGTCACCACTCCCAGCTGTCCCAATCCTTTTGATATTTAATTTGGGATGGCCAAACATCACAATAACCCTGAGCTTTGCTGGTTTTAGCACTGAAAAATCCAGTGTTTCAGAAAATTCTTCAGTCCTAGACAAACTTAAAAGAATGGGTTACTCTTTTTCCTTGTTTATAATTTCTTTTTTGGGTTTGTAATTTCTTCCCTAATTTGTATACTTCTGATAAAGTTTAGAAAAGTAGTCAACATTCTATTGTAAAATGGAAAACATGGTTCTTTTTTGTTTGGTTGGTTGCTTTGGGTCAGGTTCTCACTATGCAGCCCAGGCTATCTTTGGATTTGCAGTCATCATCCCCAGCCTACTTAGTGTTGAGGTTATAGCTATGCACCACCATGCCTGGCTGAAAAAACAGAATCTTGATCTAAGGGAAAGACCTCTGGGCAGAGAATCAGAGCTTGAGTTTCAACTTTAAATTTATCTGTTTTCTACTTGCAAGTAGCTAATTCTATTACTTTCAGTTTTGTAGATTTTCATACTAGTTAATTCTAATCTAAAGCAAATACATGTTTCTGTATTTTAGTTTGCACTGGGTAAATGACCTTCCAAGAGCACTTGAGCAGGTGAGAATTCGTCTTTTGATTCTACTGTTCTATTATTATTATAAGCCGACAGCTGAGTGTGGTATACATACCCTGTAATCCCAGCAGGCAGGAGGCTGATGCAATAAGATTATGAATTCAAGGCCAGCCTATGGTACATGGACAGTTATTGGCCAGCCTCAGATACATAGTAAGACCTTGTCTAAAAAAAAAAAAATAAGGAACTATTTACTTAAAAGACTGACAATTCAAGAAAGATTAAGTATTATTTTTTATAGGTTGGATATACTTGCCAACCTTTAACATGCAAAGATGTACATTGGGTGAGACTCTCCTCTTAAGAATCTTAAGAAATCTATTAAAAGAAGTAAGTTTTGGGGTTGGGAATGTGGCTGAGTGATAGAGTACTAGCCTTGAGCAAAAGAAGCTCAGGGACAGTACCCAGGCCCTGAGTTCAAGCCCCAGGACTGGCAAAAAAAAAGAATTTTTGAATGTATTTATGATTTTTGAATGTATTTATGAGAAAATTTAATTCATGTGCCAAATAATACTGATATAAGGCATGTTCTATATGGATTATTTTGAATCGTAATTGCCTATAAATTGTCTATAGATAGGGACATATTCATACTTGTTTTGTTTTTAGGTACTACTTAGCTTTGAATTTAGGGGCTTTTACTTTATAGGCCCGCAAGCCATGCCTCCAACACTACTTTTCCACTGGTTATTTCCAGGATAGATTCTTACTTCCTGCATTAGCACATGCCTGAGCCATGATCCACCTATTTAGTTAGGCTCCCTGTCTTTTGCTGCGATCATGTCTTTGCTTAGATCATAGACTCAGATTGCCTTGTCCAACTTCTCTCTGTGAAGATAACATCTTGATCACTTTTCTGCCCTGGCTAACCTTGAACCACGATCCTCAGCCTCCCATACAGCTTAGAATTAGTCTCTTACCACTGTGCCCATCTATCAGTTAAGAGAGTTTTTTTTCAGCTTTTCTGCAAGAACTGGCCTAAACTTCAGTCCTATTCTCAGTCTACAAGTTAACAAACACTACAGGTATGAGCCACCAGTAACTAACTGGAAGCTTTTTTTGTATGTGTCAGTCCTGGGGCATGAACTCAAGGCTGGGTGCTGTTCCTGAGCTTTGTTGCTCAAGACTAGTGATTTACTACTTGAGCTACAGCTCTGTTTCTGAATTTTTTGATACTTCACTGGAGGTAAGAGTCTCATAGGCTTTCCTGCCGGGACTGGCTTTGAACTATGATCCTCAGATCTCAGCCTCCTGAATTGCTTAGAATTTTAAGCATGAACCACCTGTGCCTGGCTTGGAAGCTATTTATATTTGTATCTTCCCCATTCTTTATATTTACAACAATTTAGTGTTAAGTAACTAATTTATAATAGGATAATTTACATTGTACTCAATATACTCATTTCCAATAGTAGATAAATGTTTGTTAATTGACATTTATCACTGAACACATGTGGTCAAAGAAAGAAAAGATCACTGTGGCTTGGAGTTGCCTAGGAAAACTTTTTTAAGATGAAGGAATTACTTAAACCAAGCCTGGATTGGGGAAAAGGCATTCTAGGAAGAAAAATTTACAGCATAGGTGAGGAAGAGTTCAAGAGCCTCAGTAGCATAAAGATAAAAAGAGGAAATCTATTGAGGGGCTTCATTAAGTTAGAAGTCAAGATTTATTGAAAACATGTATAGGAGGGCTTGGTTACCAGATCAAGAAATTTATTCTTGATGCCATTCAGAGCTGTTGGAGAAGATAAAGTGATAAGATTAAAAAGCTTAATTCCCTGCGTGCCGTAGTGGCTTACACCTGTAATTCTAGCTACTCAGGAGATTTGTATATTGAGAATTGCATTTCAAAGCCAGCCCTAGCAGGAAAAAGAGTGAGACTTTTATCTCCAATTTAATCACCAGAAAGCTAAATCTTAGGCACTTGGTATAATAATAAAAATAGAGTTTGATGACCAGAGAAGGAAATAAAACTAAAGAGGCATAAGGGAAGAAGCCAAAGATTTTAGTGGTTTGCTTTGTAATTGCTTTAGAATATATTAAATACAAATTGAAGACAGTGCTTTGTTAGAAATGCTGGTCAAATGGTTAGAGTGCCAAGTAAAGCTGAGCAAGCTCAAGGGTCTTGAGTTTAAGCCTTGGTACCAGCAACCAAAAAAAGGTCCCCTAAAACCACCCCCAAGTTAAAAAAATAAAACTTGATTTGAGTTCTGATTTACTTCATAATTCCACCTTCATCTTCACTAGTTATACATTGTAGTCTAAGAATATTGCTGAGTAAAAATTTGTGATTCTGGAATTTAATCTGGCCACAAGTTTGCCAAGTTATTTAGGTTTTTGTTTGTTTCAAAGCTGGAAAACATTTTTCTTAAAGAAAATTTATGTGTTACTAAGTAAATACTGGGACTCATAATGGTTTCTCTGTGGATTCCTTTTTGCACAAGACCACCCAGTGTAACGGTTTAACACAATACTTGTTAAGCTCACAATTTTGTGAGCTAGAATTAGGAAATTCTTTTGGATCTGGCTTTGCTCACTCCTAAGTCTGTTGTCAATTGCCAGATTGGGTGCTGGCTGGTTTACATTGGCTTCAGCTGAGACAACTGGCCAATTTCTGAAATTGCTTCATGTGCCTGATAACCTCTGCCAGCTAGCTTAGGCTTTTGCACAGCATGGTAGCTGAGCAGGGCTCTAAGAGAGCAGGTGAAAGCATGCAAGGCCATTTGAAAATTAGACTTGAAACTGATACTCTCATTTGTACTTATTCTTTGGGCCAAAGTCAATCATGAGACTGTTCCAAACTCCAAGGAGAAGGGAAATAAACTCCCATCACTTGGTAAGAGTTGTAACAAAATGATAATGACATTTCACAGGTCAGAGACAAGGATCAGATTGGGGGTTTTACAGTCTGTCACATGTTAATTTTTGTCTTTTTAAATATATATATATTTTTTCATTATCTTTATGTGGTTATACAAAGTGGTTACCATTCACCATTAAAAAAAAACATAATGTAACATTCTTATAGCTGCTACTAGTGAGTGTATTGCCTGTCTATTACAACTACATCCTACAGCAATGACTTTGAGATATTACATATTAGGTTATCTGATTATTTTGGCAAAATAAGATTGATAGTCAAAATATCAACTTTATGTTCTTTTGATATTTTTAATCTATAAAATTTTGAATAGTACTATTTTGTATTTATTGCAGATTCATTATGTTTTAAAACCAGATGGAGTGTTTGTTGGTGCAATGTTTGGAGGCGACACGCTCTATGAACTTCGGTGTTCACTACAGTTGGCAGAGACGGAGAGGGAAGGAGGGTTTTCTCCACATATTTCTCCTTTCACTGCTGTTAATGACCTAGGACATCTGCTTGGGAGAGCTGGCTTCAATACACTAACTGTGGTAACTATCAAAAGAATCAAGTAATCCATTTTAATCACACTGTTCAGAACCAACTTTTCATTTTAAAGGTAGAAAACTATACATATTGGACATGTGGGGCATTTTCTCTTGCTAGTGCTCTCTTTTTTTTTCTTATTCCAGACAAGCTTTTATTGACCAGGTTTAGTATACATAAATACAACTTGATTGACTTCAGACAGGAATGTAAAATTTTTATTATTCGGTACTAGAGTAAGCAGCTCAAAAAAAAAGTATTATAATTGGATACTGTTTTCCAAAATAAGGGTTAGTATAATATAGCTAGAGCATTGCAGATGATGGTAAAAACTGGTTATCTACAAGGGCATTTATAGTACTGCTTCCCACCACCAGCACCCCTAGGTTGAAGTAGTACCACATGCATTCTCTGTGCCTAGTGGTAGTTTTGTACTTCACTAGGACAAGAAGGTTCCATAAAGAATATTGTCAGGACATAGTGCAAAAGAAGCATTTGGTATAGTGATGGGATAGGTGTGCTGTGGGTAAAGCTTGAATCCTCTTCCTGCCCTTTGACCAACTAAAGGAATTCATTTGCTATACTTCACCTTCCTAAGGATGTTTCTTTTTAAAATGCAAATATATCTAACCTCAGGTTATGTTAAGTGCAATAAAGAGTACAAAGTACCTGGACTATGGTAAATGTTCCCTCATAATAGCTATTGTTTCTTTTTTTTTTTTGGCTGGTCCTGGGGCTTGAACTCAGGGCCTGGGCTCTGTCCCTAAACCTCTCTGTGCTCAAGTCTATTGCTGTACCACTTGAGCCACAGTGCCACTTCTGGCTCTTTCTGTTTATGTAGTAGTGAGAAATCCGTGCCAGCAAGCACTCTACCACTACACCACATTCCCAGTCCTTGACCATTACATTTATTCTGTGAAATATATATATTTTTTCTGAAGTACTATATTAATGTGTCCTAATTTATTTTCTAAAAATTCCTATCCATGATGATGGAGGTGATTATGATTAAGATGTATTGTACACATAAATGGACTTGTTAAATGAATCCATCTTGCTGGGCTCCCGTGGCTCACACCTGTAATCTTAGCAACTCAGAAGGTGGGATCATGGTTCAAAGCCAGCCTGGGCAGAAAAGTCCCTGTGAGGCTCTTATCTCCAGTTAGCCACTCAAAAACTGGAAGTAGCACTATGGCTCAAAGTGGTAGACCATTGGCCTTGAGCAAAAGAACTCAGGGACAGCACCCAGGTCAAGCCTTAGGGCTGATGACAAAAAGAGAGAGAGAGAGGGAGAGAGAACCCCTCTTTTACAACTAACGGATACTAATTTAAAAAATAAAATAAAAATTATCCCAAAACTTACATTTAATTAAGCATATAGGTTTATGTTGTATGTGTTGTTTACACTGCAATTTTTTGAAGTGAAGCAAGCTAAATTAATGTGTAGTTGGTTTTATACTAATGTGACCCTCTTAATTAGCTGATGGTCTAATTTAAGTTCATTTTCTTTTAGAATAAAACTTCCAGACTATTACATTAATAGAAAGCTGTGGAGGTGGTTCATCTTAATTTAAATAAAGCTTTTGACAAATTTATTGTGATAATTTTTGATGGAGATGGTGATATTTTTTTTGAAGAACTGTATCTAAAATATCTTGCTAATTTCTAGAAGGAATTTTTAATCTTAAGATTTCTCGTGTGTGTGTGTGTGTGTGTGTGTGTGTGTGTGTGTGTGTGTGTGTGTGAAGGAATTTTTAATCTTAAGATTTCTCGTGTGTGTGTGTGTGTGTGTGTGTGTGTGTGTTCCTTACCAAGAACTTTTGAAAACGGTTTGTTAATGTATAATAGTGTATAGCGTATAAATGAAATGGTCTTGGTTAAGGTCCGTTTTAAGAAATGTCCATTACTAGAGAAATTATTTATTTTTATTTTGTGTATATGTATCAGACCTAGGGCTTGGACTCAAGGTCTTGATGCTGTCTGTGAGCTTATTTGAGCAAAGCCTGTGCTCTACCACTTGATCTACAGCTCTACTTTGGATTTTTAGTGGTTAATTGAAAATAAGATTCTCACAGGTTTTCCTGACTGGGCTGGCTTTGAACCATGATCATCAGATCTTAGCCTTCTGAGGAGCAGTGATGATAGACATGAGCTACTGGTACCTAGCTGAGAAATGGTTTTATTAAAAAGCATATATATAACCTGGCCTATGTGTATGACCAAGACAAGAAAAAATGCTGTAAACTGTCTATATAGAGAAAGAATGAGATAGAACAAGGTCTAAAGTGAAAAGAAACCTCTTCCTGACTTCTGACACTTTGTCCTTCTCTCACAGTATTTATTATTTTATATTTTTATTCAAAATAGTTATTCCCAATAGACCAGCATACAGTAATGTTATTGAAACATAATAATATGACAGTTTCTAAATGTGTG